TACAGAAGAGTAGAGCAAATATTATGGAAAGGAAATACATTTTATGTAAATCAATACATTTGATGAATAACTTGAGTCTTACGGAAGCATTTCATACAGTATATTGAAACTTAAGGAAAAAATTAATATTGCTGTAAATAAGTTATACATAAAAAGTAAAATAATTTTAAATACATGAAAAAAATTGAACGCCAATTACAGCAGTTTAATATTAATATTACTAAAGCTATATTTGATTACATTGTACACCAATTCATTGATGGGTACAGAGCGTGTATAAAAATAATTGTCTATCAATTTTGTTCCGCATTATGTAAATATGTTTTATTAAAACTATGAGTTTTTAACTATACATTCAAAGTGGGAGTAAATTTGAGTATAGTATGATAAGGTACAGAGCGTGTATAAAAATAATTGTCTATCAATTTTGTTCCGCATTATGTAAATATGTTTTATTAAAACTATGAGTTTTTAACTATACATTCAAAGTGGGAGTAAATTTGAGTATAGTATGATATATTTATTATTAATATTTTTGCATTTATATACTTTAAATTTATAGGTACATTATTGTAATAATTAAGTACACATACTAAATATTTGAATTATTGATACTAAAATCAATACAAGCCATTAAGGCATGTATGAAATTGATAAAAATTGAAATCGTTAAAAATGCAATCATTTGAATTGTATTGGAAAACAATTAAAGAATTTTACTTCGAATAGTGGAAAAAGATTTGTTTATAAAATAAGGATTTGATTGCATTTGTCGCAAAACAATAAAATGAAAGCGAAAGAAGTGTTTGAAGACGAATACTGAATGCGAATGAAATTCAAGGAATGACTTCGAGATTAAGAATTGTTTAAATAAAAAAGAGAAATTTCATCTAAAAAGAGAATACATGTTATCATTCGGTTTTGAATAGAATTTTGTTTTTTATATATAAGTTATTCCTTCGATGAATATTTCAAACTTCAATAATGTTTGGAAATTGAGAATCGATTTCAAGAAAAACATAAATAATCGAAACGCCGTTTTTTAGATGGAGTTCCGATTCAAAATTCTGATAAAACTTGTTTCGCTCATAATTTAATCATATTATATATATATGAAAGACACTTTTAATCCCAAAAGACTTAATAAGAAAAAAATAGTAGCAGAATTTATTTTAATAAAACTTAATTAATAAATATTTGATTTGAAATAATAAGATTTCTAGTGAATTCCGGCATGAATTAGGTTTAACCTGGTTAACACACAAATAGTATTCCAGATATTTAAAACACATTTTGCTAATAACAAGGAATTTTGCTTTGAATTTATAAAATATTTACAATATTTTGGAAGCAAACCAAACGAATTAGTCTTTTGGTTTTGACGATCGCTTAAATTCACTATAATTTAAATCAAAGTTTTCTGGTTTTTCTCCTTAAAACAAAACATTAACTCAAATAAAAAAGAAACCAAAAACTTGTAACACAAATAAATTATTCAAATTAATGGTCGAATAGAGAGTCTACTGAAACAACAGTATTAATGTATTATATTCGACAAAAAGCACAACAAATAAATGCAAATAATTTAACAAAATTGGTGGCCAATCACTCTCTCCTCAAATTGATGTCCCCATTATTTTAATTATCAAACATTTATTGAAAACACATTCAAGTCTCAAATAAAGAAAATAAAATAGAAACAACGTTCAATAGTTTTCACATCTTTATGATTCTCGTATTGTAGAGAATCAATAAAATGAAAAGTATTTCAAATTATCTTTATTTCGATCTGTTTTAGTAATACAACAGCTTTCAAAATATTGTCAAATATTCTATCAATCCTTGCATTTGTATTAATTGTATGAGATTTGTATAAAATTTAAATCTTCATAATTTTTACTGTAATTTTGTGTTTACAATAAATCTTATAAATAATGTCTAATTTCTAATTACTATAGAAACTGATTATTTAGTATTATTTAGTGGAAACTGAGAGAGCCCCAAGTGCCCAATGTCCATTGTGTATTTGAATACATTTACTTGTACCAGTTAACCATATATTTCCAAATGTTGATCACTTGAGGAAAGTGATTCAGCTGCAACCCGGGTGCCCTAGAAATGCTTTCACAGTATTAAATCAATAGTTGGTGGTTATAGTAAATATCTGGTCTAAATATAGACTTACAAGTTGATTTATTTATGTAAAAAAACTTAATTTATTTATAATTTTATCAATAGAAATAGCTTACAAATATTTATAAAAAATATTAAATAACAATGGATTATGATGTAATATTAAATACAATCAATATGATAGAGAGTTATACTGTACTTATTTTGCAAAATGTCTCCTAAAAGGGGAATATTGAGTGCACTTTGAAAAGTTGTATTAAAGAAACAAGCAAATAATCACAAAGACATAGGGTAATTGCATCTCAATATTGAAGTCAAAATATATTTTTGATTTTGAATGGTATGATCTGAAAAGTCGGTATTTATGGTAAAGTTAGAAAATATGTTCATTTATAAAGAATTCATAAATAGAAATGAAATCGATTTTATTATCCTTTCTTTTTTTGACAACAAATTCTTGTATTATTACGACTTTCCGGATATAAATCAAGTGCACAAAAGTGCAAACAAAACAGATATCATTTGAAAATTATATTTCATGCTATGATTCTCTTGAAATAGATTTTATTTATTGTCACAAAAGACGAACATTTATAGGAAAATATGACGACAACACCAGAATCAATGAAAATGAAAATCACTTCAATTGATGGCAACATTTGTGCGAAGAATTAAATATTGGACTTAAGTTAAGATAAATAAAAAAGTTTCCGCGAAATTGAATTCAAGAAAGAATCTATCAATTGCTCAGCCAATTAGAAATACTTTTGTCAAACAATGGCATAATTGATAGCATTTCTTAATAGTTTAATAGTATTGCAAAATATAGTCCTTTTCTGTATATTATATCTAATACTTGTTGTATTGATTGGGTTTAGAGGCAAAAATGGGCTGTAATTCTAAAATTGATTTTGTATTAAAAGAATTCCCTTTTTCTGTATGTTATGAAGAATTTCAAGCATTTCTTATTCAGAAGAGAGAGATAGGGTTTGTAAGCGAATGAATTGTTAACATAAATAGTGATTTATATTAGTCGACCATAATATAAGAGATGTTACAGTAGTGGTAGCACTGGTAGTGTTGGGTCGATAACCCGCTAACATAAAGACATGTCTACTGTTTGACCTGAGAATAGCTGTTAGTTGTGAGGAGAATAGCATTTAGACGTTAATACATATAATCTAAAACTAACAGAACTTTTTGGTGACTTATGAAAGTGAGGTCATCTCATGATTACAACATTGTATCACTTCTAGACTCATTGACAACCGGTAGACGTGATATGAGAATTGCAAAACCAATACACAGTATTACACACTTTTTATGGCTAAACATAATGCAAAAGTATAGACATTTCCATTCAATTCTTTCATTTATTACAAGACTAACTGTTGTGTTGCCATTGTATTTGACTGTCATTTGAACACTTGATTGCCGGCTCACTATTATGCAAAACTCACTCATTAACTCCTTTTGCTATATATTCATGCAACTATTTTTATATTCACTGTTCTGGCACTACATTATAATTAGTGAATATCTAATATAACCTTACATTTCATAGATATAACGGCCTACTCCTCAATTTATTGCTCAAATTTGGTTCAATTAATTTAAAATTAATGCCATTTTAGGTATAATACAGTTTTGGTTCAAACTTTCACTTCTAAACAAATTGCTTTCTAATATAAGTGTCTTTTATTAATTATACCCTCATTTCACATACAACTATCGATAACTAAACATTAATTTATGGCTTTTATTAAGTTATTAAATTGCAGAATATTCTGTAAATTAGAAAATTCTGCGAAAATCGTAATTTATTATTTATCAAATCAATATTATCGTCATTAAATAAAGCGTTTAAATTTTATGAGTGAACCATAGAAAGAGTTGTTTATTATAGCAAATCATAAACAAATTCTCGGCTTAAGAGATGGGAATCGTTTTTATTATCAAACAATTTTATGACAAAACATAAGAAATCCAATCAAAGAAATGAAGGCAAATAAAAATCATTTGTATGTCTTATGAAATGAATTGAGAAACAATCAAAACTGAATGATTGGATGTAATAAACAACGATTAGACAAATTAGGTTTCATTAGACACTTGGCTTCGACTAAATCAATGCAATCGTATGATTGATTCAATGTATTTGCGACAAACCGATAAATTATTTGCATTCACTATATTTATGTCCCATATATGTGTCATATTATATGTTTGCTATTTACTAGATGACAATATTTACAAAATACTCTATGATTTATTTGATTGGTATAAAATTTTATTTTCAAAATATAAAATAATTTATATAAATTACCTGTACCAAATACATTATATTATACTAGTATAACATGGAGTACAATTGATAAGTACTTGATATATTTAGTGAAATTAGTGTTTGATTCAAACATAGGGTGCTTTTGAAGCGTAAAATCGCGAGACTTATAGCTAGCCTTCGGAATGTTGGGCAACGAGAGTTGGATTTTATTATATTATATGAGAGTATAAAAGAGCAAACAATCGATTTGTTTGTGCATTGAGTGCACCAATAATTGGGGCATTCATTCAGTCGCCGTTCGACTGTTTTATAGCTCTTTCACTTCAGGCAAACCAATAGTGAAAACAGTTTAGTTGTGTTACAAAACACAACACATCTATACTTATATTACTTTTATTCATTGATTATTTATTAACTATAATTTAATTAGAAGACTAGTTTGCCATTGAATAAAATAAATCTTTATTATTATTACAATTTCGTTTCAAATGTAGACTTGTATACTGTATAATGCCATACCATTGCTATGTTTCTATTGATCTCATTACTCTAACTTGAAAAAAAGATATTTATTAAAAATATGACATTAAGAGAATACTATAGAATACTAGAGCACAGGGATGTTTGTGTCTTAAATCAATTATTTAAAACATAAAAACATTGAATTGCACTGAAAGCGAGTAATGTAGTCAAGATCCATATATTATGCAATAATTACTAATATGTTGTTATCATTGATATGAAGGATGTGATGTAAATAACAAATAAATGTTTATCTGTTTGATAGTGTGATGCGGCCCTAGGAATGAAGGAGTTCTTCAATATGCTATACTTACCGCCCACTAAAGTCATGCTATTTGGAGACGCCTGTCCTGCTGTCACTGATCCCATAGCAAAAGCATCTAGGTTTTTTAATCTTATTCAGGTAAATTTCTTAAACGTATAATATATATACATGTTCCAATTAATGTTTGATATTTGAACAAAATTTATTTCGATTTTATATTAATTTAATATTTATGCCGTATTAATATAAACCCAAACCATAATTAGCACCATTAAAATGTTACATTAATACCGAGAATAATGTGATGACAAATTACCAGACAGTAGAAATGTCTGATTATATAAACCGTATAATATGCTGATAATTGTATTCTTATAAGTTATGGTGTTTTATCATATGATGAGAAGTGACCTGAAGACATGACTGACAGAAACTTTTATTAAATTTAGTATTTTAGGGCAGATTTTATATTACTGAACACGCATTGAATTAAAGATAATTTAATATAAGACTACATATTTGGTCTATACGTATGTATTGACTAATAATATAGTAAAATATTTCATTGAATGTCTTTACATCAAACAATAGACTTACCAGTACAGTTTAGGTTGACATAAGTTTTGGGGGAAAATTTCCATATATTAATAATATTAATAATATTAATAAGATAAATTTATTTTTACAACAAATAAAATGGTCTCATAAATGATTAATTAATTTTCATCGAGTTAGAATAACCCGAACTCAATTACAATGAAATTTTAAAAGTTATTACTGGCGATTTTTATTTAAATAATGAACTTATAGATTTTAATTAGGAAAATGAATATAGATTAATTAATTATTTTGATAAATAAAGACTTTAATTAATTATCTAAGAGATTAATGAAGTAATGAATTTCAGTTGACATATGCGGACACATTCACAGCACTGACGCCAAACTTTTTTCGTATCGTTCCGAGCGAAGCGGCCTTTAATCCTGGTATTCACTTATCATTAGATTTCATTTTTTATCAACTCCTTGTTGAGCTAAATAGATAAACAGTTTATAATCTATTAGAAAACTAAATGCATTGTATAAAATTACCATATAGATAAAACATACTTGCGTGTGTTTTTAATTATAGAAAATGTTTGTTATATCAATAAATGATTAACACATTTCAAACTACAGCTCGAGTAGCAATCCTGAAGAACTTCAACTGGACTAGAGTTGGAACAATCTATCAAAACTCTCCCCGATATAGTCTCGTGAGTGTCATTTATATTTAGTCCATACATTCATTTCATATAAGTCTTAACTTTATATATACAGACTATAATTTAAGACTTTATACACTATACCCAATATACTACAGTCATAAGTGCTGTATATATTGTCTTAAGCCGACACGCAATCAAATGATAGTTTTAACAAATCTTTCATAAATGTATTTATAGAGTTATATCTAATATAAACAGTAATGTAGTTGAACATGAAAACAGCTTAATTACAGATTTTATTTTTTAAAGAGATTGCTTGTGCTTAAGTCTTATAGTGTTTTATACCACTATTAGAGTATATTATATAACTTAAAGTCATTGTTTCATTGGTTTGATACACTTTATAAGACAAAGCATTTAATTTCCGTTTGCAGCCCCACAGCAAGTTATTGGCAGACCTGGACAGAGCCAACATTGATATCGTCGCCTCCCAGAGCATTGCCGATGAGCTCAAGCCTGAGATGTACTTGCACAAGTTTAAGGCAATTCACTACCACTCCATACAATCCTTTCATGCAATCTATATGTTAATGCATTTGCCAATAGGACAAAGACATCCGAATCATTTTAGCCAATTTTGATGAAGAATGGGGACAAAAGATCTTTTGCCAGGTTTATAATTGTTTTGTTGCAATTCATTGCATTTATATCTAAATGTTTCATTTATTAATTGTGTTTACATCAATGCATTATTAAATTATAAAGTTATTTCCTTTAAAGCAATATTAATGAGTGAATATTATGTCATTGAATACGAAATGCCTGTATGAATTATAGTAATAAAAAATAAAAAACAAAATAATATATTTTTATTACACAGTATATAAATTTATATTTTGAGAATTTAAAAAATAACAAATTTTTTAGTAATAACGTTTAAACTTAAGTTTAATTTATTGTTTGGTATTTTAGATGAAATTGTAGAAAATTGTAGAAATGTGTGATTATTTAAAAACAATTTCATTGCATTGCACTGTAAGCGAAGTTTAAAACAAATAGATTTAACATAATTGATATAAAACAGAGTTTGCTTTGAATTGAATTATTCATTACTCATCTTATACTGGTACTGTATATAGTATATAATAATAGATTATTTGCTTTTATATGTGAACACAAGTGACTAAATTCATGAAAAGTATTGCTAATACTTTAGAATATGACAGAAATAAATGTACGATAAGTTTGTGGAGAAGTCGTTTATTTCTCTTAAAAAAGATTTACTTTTGATCACAACTTTTCATCTCTTTTGGTGAGACATACAATCATTTGAACAAAATTGAAATATAATTAATGATTTAATATTTATCAAATCACTTTATAAGCCGTGTTGTAATGTAAAAAATAAATTATATTTCTCGAAAATAAGTGAAAAATTAATTCAAAACTAATGACTTTTGGATTCAAAATCGAAATAATATATTAATAATAGATTTGAAGCGAAAGTTTTTCTTTTAAAATCATGTTTTAGATTATATACAACTACTCTATATATCTCTATATATTATATGTGTGTTTGAAATATCGCTTTTTTAAAACTCTAACCGATATTTATTTTGAGCATTTGATGTATGTTTTACTTTAAGAAAATATCTCACGAATAGTATTAGAATATTTCATAAAACCTTTTATTGATTTTGGTGTTATGTTTGCTTATTTTTTAAAACTCTAACCGATATTTATTTTGAGCATTTGATGTATGTTTTACTTTAAGAAAATATCTCACGAATAGTATTAGAATATTTCATAAAACCTTTTATTGATTTTGGTGTTATGTTTGCTTTAATGTCATATATTTTTCTGCGTCTAATACTCAATGTTTCAAATGTTTTCTACAATAATGTCTTATATATAAAAATAGTTAAGAATATTTCATAAAACCTTTTATTGATTTTGGTGTTATGTTTGCTTTAATGTCATATATTTTTCTGCGTCTAATACTCAATGTTTCAAATGTTTTCTACAATAATGTCTTATATATAAAAATAGTTCAATCAATGGCACCCGTAGTCCAATAGTCAGCCCTCAGCTCAAGCTTTCGTTAACTCTTGAACTCAAATTGCAATTTATTTTCTAATATCCAAACAATTGTCTATTACTTTGTTTCGCAAATTAAATCTTAATCTATATTTACACAAATAATTCAATACTTATTCTGTAAATATAATTTTATTAATATTGGATTATCAAAATTAAGTTATTTCATATTTACCGTATATAGTAAAAAATTCTTATACGATAGAATTATGGCTCAAAATTTACATAAATATATATATATGTAAAAAATTATTTATACATTAGACCACAAATTATTGAGCTTATGTATTACATGTTTAGATAAAAACAAAAATTGGATGAAAAATTTAGGAGGTGTTTACTAAAGGTTTTACTAAATATTTTACTAAAACTAAACATTTTCTATAATTTCCAAAGAATATTTTATTAGTTTACACCACAGAAAATTATTTAATAGATAAATGGTTTTTATAATGGTAAAAATATTTTTCATGTTTTATTAATTTTCTCAGAGTTCTGTGCCTCAAATTAAATTATATTTACATAAATTAAGCACACATTTATTGCACATAACCTATCAAATTTTCACCCAGTTCGGATAACATTTTGACCTTTTAATCAATGAATATTTGTGTGCACTGTAAAAAACAGAAACTTTTGACTTTCAAAGTCTCTCATTTCAAAAGTTTTAATTCAAATGGAATAAAAATTTATCAACTTGAACCTGGACCCTTTCCCAACACCTCATAAAATTTTCATCCAATTTGGACGTCTGCTTCATACAGTAAATACCCCATATTTGTCGGCCCAGCAAATTGAAATACACTGTAACTTATATAAATTATAAAATATACAGTATTATAAAATGTCATAAAATTTCACCATTTATTATTTGCTTTCATAGAGTATTTTTGAATGTTTAGATATTTTGCAAACAAAACTGATTGAATTAAAATTATTTGCATCTCTTATTTGACATCTAATATTGAATTTAAATTATATGATTGATTTTGTTACATAAAAATACATCTATTCACTTATTAAAACGAAATTAAATTAATTAAATTACAGTAATTTATTATGTTTTGATCAAATATTGAGTTTACAGGCCATGCATTTTAGTTATCCAAACGACGTATAAATATTTATGCAATTATTTGTATACACTTTGGATTAAATTTAATCATTTGTTTGTTTTATGCAAATACTTAAAACACTAAACAATTGTTTGCTTTAATCTAAAGGCATATAAAGAAGGACTTTATGGTCGCCGATATCAATGGATAGTATCGGGAATATATGAGGACAAGTGGTGGCAAAATGTGCAAAATTTGGACTGTAATCAGGACGAGTTGATGGCCGCTCTGGACGGCTATATTGCCACTGATGTGCTTCCACTCACAAGTTTGCAAACCACCGATTTTGGACTGGTATGTCTCAACCAATCTATTTTGTGCACATATACACTATTTTTATGACATTTACTCAAAATTCTTATTTTAAATCAATTTGTTGTCATTATTCATATTTAAAAGCTGAACGCAACGAATGTATCATTTTTTGTTGAATAGAGACAGAGATAACCATTTTTTGTATGACTGACTGTTTGCTGTCATATGTATTGAACATATATTTATGACATTTTAGACGACATATGAATATATGGCTGAATACGAGCGGATGAGGGGCCAGGAGTTCAGTCGTTTCCACGGCTATGCCTTGCTGCCGTAAACCCGCTAGCGAAAGCGGTAGGCGAGGCAAGTGCTCTTCGAGGCTAGGTACTTGAGGCGCGAGTGAGAGTTTCTGAAAGCTATATCCCTAGGTAAAACCCGCGTTGATAAGTTTCTAGCTCTCAATGAGACCCAATTCAACGGCGTTACTGTAAGTCTGCTGCTAAACAGATCTGAAATAAATGACATTTAATGCCAATCTTGAGATAAAGCAATGCAGATGTGTGTTGCTCAGAAAAGATAAAAGTTAATAAAAGTATGGTTTGTGTGAAACCCATGTTTAGGGTCGCGTCAGCTTTGATAAGAACGAACGCAGAGGTGTTGTACTTCTCAAACAATTTCAAGGTTTGACTCAATCTTTTCTATTAGACTTATATTCACTTTGATTTGATTACCTCTTGACGCTAAAAAGCAAACTAATCATTCAATTTATACTTTAGGCCAAAAAGAGTACAAAATCGGTGAATACATCACATATTCTGATTCATTAGATTTCAAAGACGCTCCAATCTCTTGGAGAGGTATTTGCTTTGAAAAAAGCAAACTAATCATTCAATTTATACTTTAGGCCAAAAAGAGTACAAAATCGGTGAATACATCACATATTCTGATTCATTAGATAAGTTTCTGCGAGGTTAGAGAACCTCTCCATAAACGAAACGAAAGGATAGTAAAGAATAAATAAAAATACAAGTTGAAAAAGACATTTGTTTTAATAAAAAATTAAAAGAGAATAAGTATAAGTCTATATTTGTTCGGGTTTAAGTTAAGCTCTAGTTTTAACATTTATTTTAAGTAATTAAATTATAACTAAATATAAATTAAATTAAATTAAATTATAAAATCACAATACTTTTATAGATACAATAATTTAATTAAATAAACATTACAATTTTGCGACTAATACATTTGGTATAAAACTCAACATTTTAAAAAAAGTTGTCTATTGTGACACCAATTACTTAAAGTAAAGTAATCTTTAATACAAATTTAATAGGATAACGTATGGTTGATTTTATTAATCGGAATTATTGTTTGACTTTTAAAGAATAAAAAACAGTTAATGTAAACAAAAACATAAATTGTGGTCCCGTTTGAAATGGTTTTGTGTTTACAAAATGGCCTTTTTTAAATCAAGAAGCGCCTTCACCAAATGAGACTAAACACTGTGTGTTCTGTAAACTGTAAAGTTTCCTAACGTTACGTAACGATAGTAGTTATTTAACTCTTTTTATAACTCCGGGTTTCTAAGCTCTCAAATATTATTGCATTTTGTTTATGCCAAATTTATTTTTGCTAAATATGCTCTCATTTCCACTCAAATGTATAATTAGTTCAAATTTTGACACAAAATACTGGAGTGTGTTTAGCATTGATGCTATACAGGGAAGTGGCTTTTCAGTCATATTTTATTTTTTCAAATTTATTCAATTTTCATCTAAAAATTGTTTTGCATTGCAATTATGAATCAAGTAATACATTCAACTATTTTGAAACTATTTTTACGGTTTAGACTAATATTAATTAAATAATTAATTTAACTACATGCGTTATCTTGTTATGCAATTAATCTAATTATTTCAAAATTAGTATTATCTAAGCGAAAGAGTAGATGTATTATATTATAAAAACAGTTTTAAATGTGTAATGTTAGCTCTATGAAATCTAAATCAATCTCTAATCTATTATTTAACGGAATGTTCACGTTCAGTTTAGTGTTATTTTTGAATTTTAATATTCTTATAAACATTAAATGATCAATATCAATTTCCATAATATGAGTTTATTTGAATTGATTCTAGCATTGGATTTAACTTGCTCGATTTTATTTATGATTTTTAAAGACTTAAAATACAAAGTTGTAAAATAGTGCACAAATAAAACGTTACATAAAGTTGGGATAAATTTTGTGGACGACATATAACAGAGACAATAGCGCTTTAAGTAAACCATTTGTTTAGCACTTTTCGATTGCTGTATGTTTTTTGTTGTGAATACTTCATCAAATCAATGCCACATTTTGCCAAACATTTTCTTTTTGATCACATTTTAACTCCACTATACGTTTCCTTTGAGGGATAGAAAAGATAGTGTTTAGTAAATATATGTCTCACTAAAAAAGTGTCATTTTGTGAAAACAACGACTTTTTTGCCACATTCTGGAGGACAAGAGTTAGTGACTTACAAGTCATGCAATCGACTGTTAAGGAAACCCTAGATAAACAAACCGTGTATTTTTCGACTGGGTAATAGAGTTTACAAAATGAGTAAGCGAGTTTACATAGTATTGAAAATGAATAACAGTTTTATTATAAGGGGAAGCTTTTTCTCATTAAATCCTTTCATTATTTATATTAAAAGTTTGTTTTAAATATCCATAAAAATATCTCAAACTCATCAAGGCTTAAATTATATGAAATGATCGATTGCATTTGCTTTTAACGAGATTTTAGTGCTTTACTACTATTTAAATAAACTATATTTCTAAAAGTACTGTAATAGCTTCTCGATTTAGTACTTATGCTCTTTAAACAAATTTAATCATTAATAATATTAAAATTTTTTACATAAATTCTGCAAACTTCGTAATGCAAAGTGTTTTTTGCACAAAAGGTAGCTCAATAGATAAATAACAGTATTTTTATTGTCAACTCAGTTTTAGTAGCATTTTTATCAGAAAAAAATTCGTTGATATGTTTCTATAAATATTTGACTGGCATTCTATGCTGATAAGTTATTTTATATAATATTATTATATATTGTAATTGAATAGTTAATTTAGATTTATATTTATTTTTATGATAACATAGTATGCAAATCAAATCATAATATTACAAAGTGATTGTAATATTAGGAGTTCTGAACATAATAATATTACTGAGCAATATACAGCACTATATATTAAGCAATAACTATTCTGTCTATATAACTTATACAGTATAACAATAACTCTTTTTACCAATTATTGGTTATGATAAGGATTGGACAATAGATAAATTTAATGGTATACCAATTATTATGTGGTCTTTATTCGTATTGGTATCAATTGGTAAAATAAAGTCATTTTAGTTTTCCTATTCCCAATTTAATCTATTACTTGAAATTAATATTATATTTAGTGACATTATTAAATCGAAATTCTTTATACATTAAAATAAACTAAATATTTGAAACTAAGAAAATAAATTTTTAATATGATTTGAATAATTATTTATAAATGTTTTTGTTGTCTATTGATGAGTATTGATGAGTAGTAACTATAATACGATTGTATTGGACAGGGAGTGGAACGCCTCCTCGAGACCGCACAACATTGATTCTGTCGCCGTCCAGAATAAGTATCACATTATTCGTAGTCATCTCAGTGCTGGCCATCTGTGGGATAGTGCTGGCCTGTGTCTTCCTTGCCATGAATATTAAATATAGAAAGGACAGGTATTTCACATTTATTATATCAAATCTTCACATAACCCTTAATACATTAAAACTATATTTATTCAATATATCATCTAATAATTGAAATCATTTTATAGAATTTATTTTAAAACAAGCTTTTTTAGTAAAAATGTTTATGATAAGTGTGTTTAAGTTTATTAAGAGAATAATTTTAATAGTTTTTGAGTCATATAAAAGCCACTCAAGTCAATGAAATAAAAGAACATGGATTACAAAATGACATAAATTTCCTGTAAGTTTAGAAAGTAGAAAATGTTGTGAAATCTGCCAATTCAATGATACGGATGGACTGGAGCTTAGTTAACATTTCTAAAGTTAATCCGCTTTTAAGCATTCATCAGAACTCAATGATCAAAGATTGATTCACTTTTCATAATTTATTTTATTATTACCGTTTTCTAGTGATTTAAATAAAACAAAATAATTGTGTTTCGAAACTCCACTAAAACCTGTTTCAACTGTAATTCCATTAGTATTTGCACTGATTTATGCTAAACGTTAGGAGTTTTCTCATTATTTTTGACTGAAAATATCCAACAAAACTACAAATCCATGTTTGCTGTGCTTATGTCGGGCATTAATTTAATGAATTTCTCTCTCTTCTTGTCATAAACCAAACAAAATGAATACCAGAATAATGTTTTAGACAATACTAACACTGAATATACGCTACTCTATCGCATCATGAGTTTAGTTTTGGTTTAGAAAAGACAAGTCTTTCAATTGTTTTATCCATTTTTAAACCAATGGTTTTCACGCATTTCATTATATAAAGAGAATAATACGAAAATCAAGTTTTAAAAAATTGTCTATTGTTTTGCAAAAATTTCTATATTATACGACATTATTAGCAATTCACGTGTTCATAAAAATTTTGCTTTAAATATGATATAAATTAACAGCTCTTAAACTCAAACAAATGTTTTAATTGTTTGGAAATACATTTGATTTGTGAGAAAGTATAGCATTTAAACGCATTGTGTAATCCATTGAACAACAAATTTTACATCAATTTAAATACATTTCTATTTTATTATATTTTATATTCCGCTATATTTTATAGATTTTTTCGTATAAACCCTAAACTCGAAAGCCTTTTGCATAACATGTCTAATATGATTATGAAAACAGATTCGCTTAAAAATAAAAATTTCTATCAAAACGAATATTAAATTTAAATATATTTTAAAAGAAATCTGTAGAAAACGTCAATATTGAGAGCAAATATTTTAAAAAACATACACACAGTTTGTTGTTTCAGATATAGTAAAAATATTGGTCAAAAAATATATAGTGTGTAAAATATGAATGAAATTCAAATGAGTTGTTATTGTATTTTCAGATACATAAAGATGTCGAGTCCTTATTTAAATAATATGATCATAATCGGATGCATACTTACGTATACGAGCGTAATATTACTCGGTTTAGATAGNCAATATTTTTCTCAATTTATTGATGATAGCAATGCATTGCAATCCTTTGAAATGTCAAATGTCTTGTGTGTCACAAATCAGAGTAAACCACTTCCGCGAAGAACTAAATTTTTTCCGGTAAAACATTTACACAAAACCATTTCAAACGGGACCACAATTTATGTTTTTGTTTACATTAACTGTTTTTTATTCTTTAAAAGTCAAACAATAATTCCGATTAATAAAATCAATCATCCTATTAAATTTGTATTAAAGATTATTTTTACTTTAAGTAATTGGTGACACAATAGACAACTTTTTAAAATGTTGAGTTTTATACCAAATGTATTAGTCGCAAAATTGTAATGTTTATTTAATTAAATTATTGTATCTATAAAAGCATTGTGATTTTATAATTTAATTTAATTTAATTTATATTTAGTTATAATTTAATTACTTAAAATAAATGTTAAAACTAGAGCTTAACTTAAACCCCAACAAATCATCTGAATATGAATAAGAGAAAATTAAAAAATAATTTTGTTTACAGAAAAAGTTGAACATAAAAATAAATAAGAAATGATAGGAAAGCAAAGCAAATACCTCTCCAAGAGATTGGAGCGTCTTTGAAATCTAATGAATCAGAATATGTGATGTATTCACCGATTTTGTACTCTTTTTGGCCTAAAGTATAAATTGAATGATTAGNCAAAGCAAATACCTCTCCAAGAGATTGGAGCGTCTTTGAAATCTAATGAATCAGAATATGTGATGTATTCACCGATTTTGTACTCTTTTTGGCCTAAAGTATAAATTGAATGATTAGTTTGCTTTTTTGCGTCAAGAGGTAATCAAATCAAAGTGAATATAAGTCTAATAGAAAAGATTGAGTCAAACCTTGAAATTGTTTGAGAAGCACAACACCTCTGCGTTCGTTCTTATCAAAGCTGACGCGACCCTAAACATGGGTTTCACACAAACCATACTTTTATTAACTTTTGTTTTCTGAGCTACGGTGCAGCAACACACATCTGCATTGCTTTATCTCAAGATTGGCATTAAATGTAATTTATTTCAGATGTGTTTAGCAGCAGACTTACAGTAACGCCGTTGAATTGAGTCTCATTGAGAGCCTCTTTGAATAGTTGCGCCCAAAATGGATCCCTATATCGAAAGTCTTTGAGAGTGAGCGCGGAGTTCATGGATCGGAGCTTCTCGTGAACGGAGCGGATGGCGAAAGCGATCGCCCAAATGCCGTCGT